CGGGTTTATCGCCAGTAATTGCTATAAAGCCTTCCAGTTTTTCTTCTTCGTCCTTTTTTGCCTATAAAAAGAATATTATTAAACCATTGGTAAGTGATATATAATTGATAAAAAGTAATAAAGATAATTGATAAAAATAATAAAGAATTATTAAAAATGAACATTAAAAAAAATAAGATTTTATAAAATTTATTTCAAAATGTATTCTCTATACTAGTTCTTTTTTATCTAAAATAAATTATCTATGTCTAGTATAAAGAACAAAGAAATATACATGTCATGAAACGTACATGGGAGATAAAAAAATATAAAAAAATAGCGTTTATAGAATTTAATATATTAAAGATAAAGGATTAATTTTATACAAATTAAAAATTGTACTCATAGTATAGAAAGAAAGATAGTTAACTAATTTTAAAGGAATGATAAAGGAAAAAAGGGATAAAGGATAGACACTTATTATTCATAATTTTCATTAAAAATTCTGTTGTCTTATAAGAATAAAAAAAGTAATATAATCGTTTAATAATTTATTGTAATAAACTTTATAAACTTATTCATTTTATTCATTACTTGTAACAAGTTGTTTTGATTGAAGATTTTTATTTTCAATTATATTATTAAATTAATTGCTACTTAAATAAATATATTTTTTAATATTTATTTTAAGCTTTATTATCAACATTTTAAAACAAAAGATTTTACTCTAAAACTTTTTTTACAATAAGTCATTCAATTTTTCTTTAACATTACAAATAAAAATTATTCCACATTATTTAATTTATTAAAAATAAAAATTCATATATAAAAAAATGGAAAAAAATATCCAACACTTTAATATAATGTCATACAAATTCCTCTCACAATTTCAAAGGCAAATTTCATTTTTTTCATCCTGTTAAATTTTTATATCCATCTACTTCTTTGACTCTGGTTAAAAATTCCATATTTACCTGTTCCTTTAACTTTTCGTAATCTTGCTTGAATTCCTCATCCTCCCATTTCGTCTCAATGTAGTCTTTTAGATTCTGACGCACGTAAGG